GAGACCATCCTGGCTAACACAGTGAAACCCCATCTCTATTAAAAATACCAAAAAATTAGCCGGGCGTGGTGGTGGGTACCTGTAGTCCCAGCTACTCAGGAGGCTGAGGTGGGAGAAGGGCGTGAACCTGGGAGGCGGAACTTGCAGTGAGCCGAGATTGCACCACTACGCTCCAGCCTGGGTGACAGAGCGAGACTCCGTCTCTCAAAAAAAAAAAAAAAAAAGTATGAAACACTTACTGGTATAAACACTAGCCAGTGTCTTTCTAAATGTGTACACATAGGTAGGCAGTTAGAAGTGAAGCTATTCGTTGATTTAAATTCCTGCAAATACTACATAATTGATTTGACCCAAATTTGCCTATAATTATCAACATACCATGGAAAATTTTAGTATCATATCCTCTAAAATTTTAAAAGCTAAAACATACATCTCAGTTTTTTAAATTCTACTACATCATTTACACTGAAAACATATAGTAAACCATTAGTCCAAGAACAGTGATAGCTGATACATATGATGAGCTACCAGTGTTTGACACCGGTAAGAGTCCTATGGGGTGGGAGCCATTCTTACAACCTATTTGCAGATGAGAGCACTGAAGCTCCAGCAGGTTCAGTTCTTTCTAGAGTCACAGTGCTACTAAGAGCCAACGCTGAAGTCTGAGAAGCTGAGTTTATACAATCAACTTGAGATCAGTTTGCTTTAGGGTAAGGAAGAAGAGATGGTGGTCCAACTCTGCCTGTAGGATCTTCCCATGGTTTCCCATTTCTCATGGTTTCCCTCTTCCCTCAGGGACCCCTGGCGATGGCAGAAATGAACCCAGCACAGGTGAGTAGAATGTTTTCTACCTTTCACCTACCCGTTATCTCATAGATGGTTTTGGCACCTCCATATAAAGAAAAGTGGTGTCCTGAGACTCTTTCTCTGTCTTTTTCCCTCTCTTATGTCTGAAAAGTGGGTGGTTCCACCAGTTCTAGTATCTGAAATTAGGTCTGAGATGTTTGTTTGATTGTTTGAAGTTTATTGTGACACCTTATCTGGATGGCCCTGGATTATATGGAGTGGTTCCCATTTTTGACAGCTGACGTGGTAACGTCTGTCAGAGTGTCATGGGCACAAGATTAAGAATGTTTCAATGTTTGGAGGAGAGACTGAACTGGATTTTTAGTTAACTGCAAGTGTCTGTTATATCAGATAGGAATAGGGAGCAGAGTGGGAGGTGGCTAGAGACACACAAACATCAGGCCTGGAATGACAGCCTAGGTCCTGGGTCTCTAATCTAAGGGAGGTGGTAGATGGGGAAGATTCCAAGCAGAAGAGGGCAGTGATAGGACCCTAGCTTAAGGAACTTTCTTTGGCTTCTGAGTAGAGGACAGACTGGAGGTGCGGGTAATGGCAGGGAGATCTGAGAGGATGTTCCTGCAGCAGTCTAGGTGGATGTTGGTGGTAACTTGTCAAGAGTAGTGTTGGCTTCAGGATGTGTTTTGAACTGGAGCTGCCCACATTTTATGATGTAGAGAGTGAGGCAGCTGGGGAGGTAGGATAGAAGGAGAATCAGGAGTGACCCCATGGTTTTGTTTGGAATTATAGATGCTTCATTAGCTATGATGGGAGAAGTCAGCAGTAGAAGGAATTTTCAGAGTGAGTATGAGGAGTCAGTGTTTATTCAGGCCACAGATGTCTCAGAGATTCCTGGTGGAGGAGTTCAGGTTGGAAACGTCCACACCACAGTGGCTGTCATATGGACCAGGATGAAGCCGTGGATTCAGTTTAGGTGACAGCATCTCTAGGTTATGGTGGCAGTGCTGTTTGACAATAGAGAATTGGAATGGGGCATGAGAACTGGGTCTCTTACAGGGTACCTGTGTGGTGGGGGGGAGTCACTAGACAAATGAGGGAATGGAGTGTTTGTGGGGATGAGTGAATGTGAGATGGTGGGGTATAGGAGTGAGAAAGACTTCTGAAGGAGAGTGGACATGATGGGGTTGATGAGGGGGTAATAGGGTGAGGTTGGAGAGTTGCTAAGCATCAGTTGGATTGAGGTGAGGATGGGAGTTGTATTAGTCCATTTTCATATTGCTACAAAGAACTACCTGAGACTGGGTAATTTATGAGGAAAAGAGATTTAATTGGCTCACAGTTCTTTTTCTGTTGTTTGTTTATTTTTGAGATGTGGCCCAGGCTGGAGAGCAGTGGCATAATCTCAGCTCACTGCAATCTCTGCCTCCCAGGTTCAAGTGATTCTTCTGCCTCAGCCTCCTGAGTAGCTGGGACGACAGACTCACGCCACCACGCCCAG